GAAGTATATAGGAATAATGGATGCCAACTTGGAACGAAGTTCTTCACAGGCGGCGTCAAACTCGCTTTGTGATGCCTTCTCCTCGCCTTTCAGAATCAATACGTCATTCAACCAACACAGAAAATCGGTCGCTTATTTAGTATCGTAGTGGTAGATTTGTCCGTGACGTTGCGATCGATTGTAACTGGAAGACTAGAACCAAGCTTTTCCCGGAATAACATGACGAAGTTCCTGACAATCAGATCGATGGGACCACGTAACATGTCTTCACCAACTGCGCTCCCTATTGAAGCCAAGACTGGTGAGTTCAGCACGTAGCTTATGTGGATCGCAAGGTCTTTTGCACCATTATCAGATGAAGACAAGTATTTGTCAAAAGGAGATTCCAAATACAAATCGTCTATCACTGGAAGCTTGGAGAGAAAGGGTAATTGGAAGATACTTTGTAGAGTCGTAATGTTCGGAACAGAAGGCAACTTGGCAGAAAGTAATTCGCAGACTTCAGCGGATTGATCTCTACGAAAGCGCTTTACTGGATTGAGGCAAAAAACAATTCGAATCTCAATTATATCTACCCTATGTACACACGCAACGCCTTCAGCAACTGCCCGCTGTCTTCATCTCCCTCGAACTCCTTTAGTTGCTCCTTCGCTTCATCAAACTCCCCCTTCGCCTCATCAAGCTTCCGCTCCGCCTTGTCTCGCTTCTTCATTCACCATTTTTTTTTTTTGTGAGAACAGTCTATTACTATGCAAAAAATCCCAATTTGTGTAACCATAACTATAACCGCGTCGTGTCGTTACACCTTTGAAATGTACACAGACATGTAATACAGAGTCACGTTACTACAACAATTACCCACAGCCTCCTGGAGAAATAAATATGACCGAATTACAAATTGAAAATCAGCCAAAAAGCAAAAAAAACTCTGAATTAACATAATCTCCTGACTTTCAGGATAAGATGCTGCTGCGCAATATTTAATCAAATGACGTATATTAGGAACTTTCTAGTCCTATTCACAATGTATTTAATGTGACCAACGATAATCAATTCGCATGATCATCCGCAGTGTATGATAAAAACAGTACAGTACTGGTTAATTTACTTCAGAAATCAATCACAACGCAATAAATACCGTTGTAACATTACATCTTTTAAAACTATAAAAAATCTGTCAATTTCCACAATAACACTACGAAAAAAGCTCACATTCACAAGCGAATTCTTTTTTCGAGTATTTATTGGCTTCGCTCTTGGCCTGTGGCTAAGTGGCATGCTTTGTAATGGTCGGCTTAATAATACGGGAGCCTTAATTCAATCGACCAAGTTGAAATCCATAACAACACGTCGGCGGCGAACAAAATTTACTCGTCAGAAATCGAAAAGTTGTGGAACGATCTAAACCGATTATACGACAGAAGAACCGAATCAGCTCCAAAAATTTCATTTAACAAAATGGCGTTTGAAATTTACAAGTTGCTCGATAAGCAGAAGGCCACTGTCGCATCCACAATAAGAAATTTCTATCTTCGAAGAACAACTCCGCGGAAAAAAATCCATTATGGCAATCTAATGTTGGATTGACGAAGAGAAGAAGAAAAAGGTGAACCACTCAGATGGGAAAAAGAAATAGATAGTCGTAATAATAACGTTGTTAATAATAGTAATAGTAAAGAAGATAATGAAATTTAAAATTTACACCAGAGTGATCAAAGAATAGGTTATACTCATAAACGGCTTTGAGTCCGAGTATTTTTCTCCCATGCAATTACTCTGGTGCTTTTATTATTAATTATGTTTCGAGAGCACGCATTCAATAATCGAAATAATAAAATTATGCTTACGAAAAAATTACGTGTTTGATTGCAACTGTGTCAAAGCTCAACGGATGCGCGTTTATAAATTTTTCATTTATATGTCAAGCGACTTTGGATGGGTGGCTTTGCAAGCTGAACAAGACTCAAACATCCCTTTGCGTAATCATACATTTCTCTCGACCTTTTACGTTAAATTAATTCCCTTTACCTTTCTTCAAGTTTTTGTTTCTTTCTTGATTTATCATAAGTTGAGGTTCATTGTTTATTATCTTTCGTTCTTCTTGATAGATTTCGTAAGTAATTTTTTCTTGGTCTAAATATTCCTGGAGAGTTTGGGTATCATTGATTTTAAAAACGTATGGAGCAATTTTTTCTCCTTGCTCTCTCTTTCGTATGTTTCTAATAATGCTGTAATCCTTGGGTTCCATGGTGGATTTAATGTAAATTAGTTTTATATTTATATTTTATATAGAGATAATCCTATATTAATCCTGTGTGGTTTATATTTATCACATTCTGGTATGATAAAGTGAACATTAAAATTAACAAGTCCATAATGATATGCGATATTATGGGCGGACTACGACCACCGATGCCCGATTTCGCACCAGAGGAATACAAGAAACTTGCCGAGCGTTGTTGTGATGCTGAAAACAGCTTAAATTGGGCTTTAGCGAGCACCTCGTTGTGAATAAAAGTTCCTCGCGATAGTTGTGATGCTGATCCTGATAAGCGTCCTGATGCAAGGAGACTTTATGAGGATATTAGCGAGCTTGAGGGAAAGGTGAAATACAATATTACGTGGAGTAACGTTTATTACAACAACGTAAAACCCTTATCGCGTCTCGAAAAAGAGTGCAAATACTCTAGTAAGCTTTTACCTACTGGAGATTTACCCAAACCAAGAAACAGTTATAATTTAGATTCAGCCGCAGGTAGGACAAAAGCAGTTGTTACTTTATAAAATCGGTACAATATTAACCTCGTCGATTGTCTTATTGATTTAGTGACTCAAAATTTTGAATATACGAGTTTTATTCAAGAGTTTACAATTAAATATGACGATATGCTCGACAGGGGTCAGAAATAAAGATTGATTCGAGACAAACTAGAAGCTGCTTATTAGAAAGTGTGTTTGAAAATGCAAGAAAATTGAATATACTTTATTTAAAATATCAATTAAATTTTGTTCTATTTGTTAGTCAAGACGTTCTCTTGGCGGGTAAACTGTTGTTGTTCTTCCATTTTCAGTGGTTAGTCATGTTGAAATGGAGAGCAACGCGTTGGGGTTCGGTAATTGTTTGTTTGACATTCATAGAATATGACCGTGATCCCTTTCGATTAATTTTTAATGAGTTCCTTTTGTACTAATTATAATCTAAAGTGCTTCGTAAATTTTCTGGGAAAACCGCTAAAGTATTTCAAAGCACTGCTTGATCGAAAAAAGACTGTAATAAACAGCTTATATTTAAGACTCAAAAAGATAATCGTTTTTAATAATATTTTGACCAAAACATTATATAAAAAGGCAATTATATCAATAGAAAGACAATACGATATATTAATCGTATTAGAAATCCTGCGAGGGTGTAACTCAATGAATTATGAGCCTAGGAACCAATTATTATGCGAAATTATCAACATTTTCGGAACGGTTCACTTGCAATGAGAACAAACTACGTATTTACAGAGAACATCTATCTCAGACCAAGTCAGAAAACAATTTGTTTACGAGGGAAAAATATAAATCATAGTTGAGAATTATTATAACAAAGAAAGTGGTAGATGCGCGCACTTCATGACGAGAAGTAAAACTAATCATTGTACTGTTCCACATTCCGATCAACAGGCTACATTGCAAAATAGGCAATTAAAAGTTAAGCATGAGTAACTAGCGTAAGAGCTCATTAATTTAATAAACATGTACTGTAACTGCAAATGTTCTCGTCAATTTTTATTAGCACGTGATTACAGCAAAATTCTTTTATTGGATACAGCCCACTATAGTCCATAAATCGATCACATTCTCCAAAGAAGCAAAGACCGGCTCCCTCCGCTAAATGACATATAGTTGTTTGCTTTGAAGCAAATAATTCCTTGGAATATATATATTTCTTCTCCAATGCCTGACAATTTGCCCTTGGTATCTGAATATTTTACAATTGGCATAATCCCCTTTGAATGATGGTAAAAGACTCACTCTAGTGCTGAGGTCTTCTGAAAGCGAAATTTACTTTTTTTTTTTTTCAATGGATGACATTCCTTGCGCACACGTGCTATTTCTTCTTTATTATTATCCCCCCAACGTCTGTTGCAATTTACTACCAAATATCTCCCAGAAACTTATTTGTGAAATTGCGACAATGTTTTCTGTTGTAGCTTGTGACTTCTTTACCGTTGTGAGTGAAGGACCTCGATACGATGTTTGCTTCATTTTAGCTCAACTTTAACGACGTTTATTCATACCATGTTCAAAGTACTTGTTAGTTTACATAAGGCTTGTCGATACAAATCTATTATACTACTATTCAATTTCTATTTCTAACAGAACCCAAGCACACATATAACTCTACTCATGATTCAGTCAACGGCTCCCTTTCTTCGGCAGTAGAATCTCGATTAGAATATAATGCCTGAGTGAACGAGCCTCCATCCCTAAGGAAGACGATAAAAATAGCTCCAAACATCGAGATCGATAGGATCCCTGCTAGTGCAGAGAAAGGGAAGATATCTCGCTGTTGGAAAGCAACTGCAGAAAACAGCCTAATAAAGTAAGATATGGTATGGGTTAGATAACGATCGTGGATCAGTCTATAGAAAACAGTATCATATTGAAGCAAACCAATTATTCACTCCAAAGACTTACCAAGCAGCCGAAATGCCAAAAAATCCGTCTCTGTTTCCTCGAGTAAACCAGCCGAATCCGATCCAACCCCAACCTATAATCGCATAAATTACTAGAAACACCGTAGCCACATAACCGTCTATATAACCGTCCATATAACCGTCGAAATTGTAAAGCGCGAGGAATCCAGTGTATATTACGAAAAAGAACCAATTCGCAACGAGTATGGAGAATGGAACAAAAATCAACCAGATGTTGGCAATGCGATAGTGGATAGGAAGACTGTATAGGGGAAAGAAGCGGAAGAGTTTGCGATGGACGAAGGCTGCGATAGCAGAGTTAATGATTGAGAGAAGAAAAGCCCAGTCGAAGTCTTCCGCGAGCTAATTGTAAAGAGGTGTCCCCAAAACAAGGATAGGAAGATGGGTAATATTAATTTTACAATCAAAGATGTATATCTCAATCCTCGATTGATTACACTCTCGCATTCATTGTTAAGTAAGCTACCCCGCTATCGCAGACTTACCCAAGATCGGACCCAACCAACCAAAAGCAGGTTAGAAACAATAAACCACGGTCCAATTACTCCCTTTACAATTCTTTGAGCATATTCTTCGTCGATCAACTGAGCATAGAAAACGAATCCAAACGCCGACAGATAATATAATCCCCAGAATACATATATAAACGATTTTTCTGGAGTGAAGAAACAGAAATTGTCGTCGATGATAGTACCAATACTCGGTGAAAAGACGAGTATTGCGGCGAGATGAATGCCAGTGGCAAGCAAGAACGATATGATATTCCCGATACGGAGGAGTTTTACTTGTCTTGTAGGCGTGTGTACACCCGAGCCTGTCAAATGGTCCATCGAGAACAGATTGATTTCGCTGCGTCCTTTATTAAGCGCAGCTAAAACAGACCTCCAAAACTGTTCGAGAGTAGATTGAATGATGGCAACCGGATGGTGTACTACGTTTCACCATTAAAGATCCTGTCAAAGAAAGTTCCCAATTTGACAACCATGTAAGCGGAGCGTGCTTGTGTGTGACATGTGTAAGTGTTTTGATGTATATAATAAGGGGAGGGGACGCACGATGTATAAAGACTAGACAATACAAGCAAAGAAATTAAAATGCCTATGTGTTATCTCGATTCCCAAAATGCGAAAGCCGACATTCACTCAATAAAGCAAGTAATACTTGCATCTCGATCTAACGTAAACATACTTGAATGAATGTTTATAATTTGGTTGGATAATTGTATGTCAAAAATGTGAATGTTTAGAAAACTCGGATGCAGACCAGATTGTGATAATCATTATGGTCACATGATTAACTTTAAGTCCATTTCCCACGTGATATCATTCAGCACCTCGTACTTTAAATGCGTTAAAATTTATACAATCTTGTTTTTCCCTATCGCAATTCTTTCTTTGGCGATTAACTATTTTCCCTAACAGGATTAGGCGAATTATTTTTAATTATTGGCTTTAAAGTTACACATTTTCTCACAAATGACTTTACAAATTCGCACGCGCAAGATACATTCAAACGTCATTATAACTTTTTATTTATCAGCTATTATTGGTAGAAACCTTAGTGTACCGTCGACCCATAGATTTATTTGGCATTGATTGTTTCCACAGATCGGTCAAGCGACTGGCCTTCTAAGTCGATAGCAGTTATAAAAACCGAACAAATTCTCTTCTATGAATATTTTTTCGTAGCAGTAATTGATATCAACATTCCTTGTCGGACTTTCTTTGCTCTCTAGATATAATGTTGCATAAACATACACCTACATTAATATTACTAACCTTTATTCTCGGATAATCACTTCGTCTTCTTTGATAACAGCAAATAACTATATTGACGAACCCTTTCGTTTGTTGCTTACCAGTAAATAAAGGCCGTTTTTCATCCACTTTGCTTTTCTTCAAGTATACTACTATACTGTCAATTCGTCATCCAAGAAGTTTACTATTGTAATTGCGGTCATGTTTCCCTGTTATGGATATTAAATACTCATAATAATATTAATATCGTGTGACTCGTCAAATTTCGACTATTTACTTTAATGCACATAATATCTGCACCCTAGTTTGGATATCAAGAAAACATTTGTTAACTTCTACTACTCCAGCAAGGTAGAACAAGAGAATTCCCATGGCTTGGCACAATTGGAAAGACTAAGCCTGAAAGACATGTGTCAATCATGAGGCTTGGTGCCGATAAGCACAAAAGAGAATCCCGGGAATGAACATTAATTTGGGCCCTGAGGAAGCGATCGAAGCCACAATTCTTTTACAAAGTAATCTCGCTAATATAATACCACACGGTCATTATCCACTGCGATTCACGTTATTACTAAGTAGAATATATTCAAAAAATGCAGTAAAAAAGAAGTAACATGACACAATGAAAAATATACTAAAAGCAAAAATTCTGGCTAAGAAAATAACAAACAATAATAATAAAGCAAAAAAACCGATATTAAACACACCTAATTTTTCCTATGAGCATCAAGTAATTTCTAAACAGGAAACACTAACCCCAATGAATATATCTTTATAGCAACCCACTGACATTATGTGAAATAGTGTTCAGAATATATTAAGAAGATGGACATTATCGAGTGATAGAAAACTCTAATGTTATAGCAGCACAGAAAAGAAAATAATAATGAAAATAAGATATCTGATCAAAGTCCTCATAAAAGAGAATATTTCAAGTACAAGCTTTCTAAGTCTTTGTCTCTTTCTTTTGTGTCTAATAAAACAAAACAAAGGACAGCTTTTGCTAAATGAAACAAAATAATACTCTAATTATAAGAACATATTACGTAACAGCTATCTTATGGAACAAACACTTCCCTCCCTCCCCTGATAACCAATACTACACTCACCTATGTGTACTTCCAAAATAAACCCAACACATTTCACTCTATCACCACCTCAACAAGCTCTCTTTGCTCTAAAATCACCCACGCTCATGATGTTTGCCACAAAAAAAAGAAAGAACTATCCGCATCATATATTCGCATCAGCTATTTTAAAGTTTTTTTTCTCTCTTGCATATGTTTATTATTATTATTAAATGTATTAAACAATCTTAACAGCAACCGCCGCCTTGCTGTTGAGCTACAGAAGCCCCAGGCCCAACTTTGACGGATTGTTTTTGCGATCCTGGTTGGATGTTTGTCGTGCCCATTCTGTATAATAATTTGAGATAAGTTAGTTAGCAAATGTAAATGGCATAAAAAGTCTTAGCCCCCCATCCCATTTCAAATAATGGAGCATCCCTTACCTGTCTTTAATCTGTTTGGCCATCGTCAAAAATGCCTGTTCGACGTTAGTCGCATTCTTAGCTGATGTTTCCAAGAATGGAATACTCAATTGGTCCGCATATTCCTAGATGAAGAAAAGAAAAGCAAAGTTAAGTTTGCTGGCAAGGTTGCTCAAAGAACGATATTCTAAAAAACAACACCCAATTCTATCATCTCTTGAGTCGTTTTATTCGGAAATTCGATTTCCCAACACGAACCTTGGCGGCGGCATATTCAACTACTTTCTTACTGGCCAAATCGCTCTTATTTCCGACCAACAGCTTATTAACACCCTCACAAGCATAACGATCGATTTCTTGCAGCCATTGTTTGACATTAGCGAATGTGTCTTGGTCAGTCACGTCGTAAACTACAATAATTCCATGAGCACCGCGATAGTAGGAAGAAGTAATCGTGCGGAAGCGTTCCTGTCCTGCGGTATCCCACTAAGAATATGCAGCAATATATGAAGGTTAGATTAATATGGATGCGGAAAAGAAAGAGAACGATATAGAATGTATACAAAAATGACTGAAATTATATAAAAACTCAAATGTGCAAAGAAACCCAACGTCAATAATTGCCACTTACGATCTGTAGTTTTACAGTCTTGCCTTCCAGTTCGATCGTACGAATTTTCTAGTATTCAAAGACGGGAATATTAGTAAATCGACGTACACGATACGGCTCGTTCAGTTTTTCAAAGCGGGACCTTTTAAAACACGTTAATCTCCCCACGCCTCAAAAGTCTTAATGTTTTCTTACTTACAAAATCGACACCAATAGTGCTGATATAACTCTCCGTATACGTATCATCTGCGAATCGAAGCAACAAGCACGATTTTCCTACGCCGGAGTCGCCAATCAAGAGAAGTTTAAAGAGATAGTCACTGTAGTATATTATGAGAACAAAGACGTTAGAGTATATACGTAAAACAACAGGTATTGAATAGCGAATGGTCGAGAGATTGGGAATGTCGCTGTCAAGCAGGTCCCTCATGAATTCCATGTGAGGTTATTAAAGAGACGAGACAAGAGGAAGATGAGAGCAGAGAAGAGACAGCCGGCAAAGGAAACCACTAACAGTTATACCACAAACTGAAACTTGAAATACAGCAGAACGGGAACCTTTCTCTGTATTATATCGCAGGTATCGGGGTTTTCCCGCTCTTTCGCCGGCAACCTACTATAACTTGTTCTGCCCAACTTGTCTCGTCTCTGGTCTATCGTACAGGTATTTTGTTTTTTCCGCTGACAGACTCTTTCTTCGGTTCGTCGTCGACTCTCCCAACAACTCTCTCGTTGAATAGTCTCTGCTACGGTAAAAGCTTCAAGCAAACCAGTATCATGAAACTCGAGACTCACTATTCGGGATTCATCTTTGGGTTAATTCCTTTTATTCTGCAGTGTTATCTGATTCCGGCTATCTATCGAGGTTAAAGTAGTGGCAATTTGCCTTGTGGATGAGTTGTGAGGGGTGTGGGGAGTAGACAATAAGCACGAGGGTTTAAAGGGGAGGGTGATGGGATTTGGGGGGTGGTGGCAATTATGTGTTGCTGATATGATGTCAGCACTGTATAAACGATAGCGTATTTTGCTGCGTGTAAAGATTATTCCATGATTGGACATGAAATGATCGGCAAATATACAGTACATAGCCATGTGTAAAAAAAAATATGGACGTTTTATGAAAAGCGCGCGATAAATGCTTTAAAGTCCCTTTGATCGCAAGACGGTCCAAAACTTTTTAATTAAATTATCTGTAAAACTTTACGATGAGAAGGTCCATGTCACTTGATGGGATTGACAAAATATCCGGAAAGCATAAATGAAAACTAAAGAGATTTATGCCCGCTTTTATGTTGTTGCAGCAACACTGCAGGCATATAAGTAATTATTGACAGGCCTTGGTTCACAACCAACAAACCGTCAGTAAACAATACGTAAATGACCATTCATAGAGTAGTTTTGTGTGCATATTCTTTCGCAGTCAACACATCGAACGCAAGACTAAAATCAAACGGTAGAATGCGAGACGTGTTTGTGATAAGCCCTACAATCGTTACGCAAACATAAATGACGACACTACATAAAGATGACGTAAAACGGTGTGGCTGTATTCGAATGCAAAGCAAGTGTGAAATGCCTCATGGCTGAAGAAATGTGTACTACGACAATGACAATGATTTTGTGTCCTTTATTAGGCGCACGACAATAACAATGAATAATCTGTCTCAAACGAGCAAAGGCCGTCCAAGGCTTTTTTTTTTTTTGTTATCACTCGTCCAAACTCTTGCACGGATTTTTTTAAACCGTGTTTGCTAATTTAACAAAACCAAGTGAATTTAGATCATGAAGCTTGTTCGGATGCTTGACACGTGGGGCCTTTATCTTGATATCGAGATTATGGTTGGCTTTCAAAGTTGATATAAGCATATTTGTAAACATGTTCTACAAGTATAGTCCCACAAACGTTATCAAACTCCGATTTCGTGTAAACAAAGGGTTTGTCAAATCATAGACATTCATTAAACATAGTAATATTCCCAAACAACGAGAATTTTCAAGGAATGCTGTAAAAGCCTCATTGGGTTGCGGCGACATACAACCAATCAGTGCCATTTTTGGTCGTTATTGCTGGACCCTGGACCCGTTTATTGAAACTTAATATAGAAATTGATCATTTACTCTGCCGTGATAGTGGAAGCACGTGGGGGATGTTGAAAGAACCCCTTTACCCTTACTATTGTCATTTTGGAAAACTTGGAGAGAGCCAAATCGACTTACATTGGGGAACTTATAATGGGACCGGTACCTACGGGTTGTTTGTTGCATTTTTTGAAACGTGCCCAACAAGTATTTGATTATTTGTGGCGTCTATTGTACAAGTTTATTGATTGTTTATCTTCAAGTAGTTATTAAGAACACTATTAAACGGATGAGGTCCTTTTCAGGAACTCGTATGAGTATAAACTTAACTTAAAAGGTTCTCTAATCTGCTGTTTGTGTGCTAACTGATTTACCGAATCTTTCACGTGAACTGATGAATAAATAATCATCAAAGAAGAACCTATCTGTACAAAAAAAAAGGTAGAAAAATGACCATTTTCATCAATCACCAATCACCTTCACACA